TATGGAAGGAAATGCAGGTCACCCATATGTTGGGACGCGGTTGGTGAAAGAAAGCTTTTAGGGCCCGAAATTGTCCAGGTAACCACAGATAAAATAACATTAATTCGTGAAAGGCTCAAGACAGCTCAGTGTCGGCAAAAGAGTTATGTCGATAACCGAAGGAGAGATCTTGAATTTGAAGAAGGTGATCGAGTTTTCCTAAAAATCTCACCAATAAAGGGTATTATGAGATTCGACAAGAAAGGAAAGTTGAGCCCACATTACATCGGACCATTTGAAATCCTATAAAGAATTGGAGGTGTCGCTTATAGACTTGCCTTACCACCCGAATTGGCAAATGTCCATAATGTCTTTCATGTATCTTCACTACGAAAATATCAGCCCGACCCATCCCATATCTTAAAATATGAACCTTTACCAATCAGGAAGGACCTATCTTTCATTGAGTAGCCAATTTTGATACTGGATAGAAGGGTGCAAGTGTTGCGTAACAAGGAGATTCCTTTAGTTCGTGTATTATGGCAGTACCATTCAAGAGAAGAGTCGACTTGGGAACGAGAAGACGAAATCAGAGAAAAATACCCCTATCTTTTTCAGTAATCAGGTACACAAATTTAGAGAACTAAAGTTCTTTAAGGGGGGAAGAATGTAACAATCCCAAAAATAAAAATAAAAATAAAAAAATAAAAAAAAGGAAAAAAGATGCTTTTAAATAGGTGATGGTCTGTTTGAGTATGATGGTCCTTGGGGACCATCACTATTTTCAAAAACTTTTACTTCGTTTAACTTTTGTTTGCCTGTTTTGCTTGCTTGCTTTTGCCTCCTGCTGCTTGCAGCTGGCAACGTCCTTTAGCGAACGTCGTTTTCGTACGATAAAAGTCTGCTTTTAACGCGACACCTCAGGTATGAGGTAGAGCGTAATAAAACAATATAATAATACGTTATAAGAATTTAAATAGGGGATGTGAGCACTCCCACCCTAAAACAAAATTTTGAAATCTCTCTCTCTGGTCGAAACACAGTGAACTTCTCTCTCGAACCGAATTTTTTTATCGGAAGCTCCCTCTCAAATAATTGTAGGTAAGTGACATCGTCTTTCTGAAAAATTGTCTATTTTTAATAAATAGTGATATTTCTGTCTAGGATCTTTATTTTATCAGTTTTATGTGTAAGTGACCTCATTGTCTCGAAAAATAATCCATTCTTTTTAAAAATAAAATGAAATAATTATTTCTGCTTATTATCATGAATTTTAGGCGCGATAAATTTTATGCGCACGTGACCTCATTATCTTGAAAATAATCTTTTTAATAAAAATTGTGATATTTTATCTATGTTAGAAATTTTGAATGCTGTAAATTAGAAAAATAAATTTATTTATTTTTCTTGTCTATTAGAAATAAATGTGATATTTCTGCTTTTAGTAAAATTGTGATATTTCTTTCTACTGTTTTGAAAATTTAGATATTGTAAAATTCATGTGCAAATGACTGCCTTATTATTTAAAAATTGACATTTTTGCAATTGATTATAGTATTGTTGTAAAATGTTTATTTGTGAATTGATATTCCATAAATTGTGATAATTCCGTATTCTTGAATTTTTATAAGAGTTTTTCTATACATATTAAATTGACAATTATGCTAGAATGCCTTTACAAACTGCTACCTTTCTAAATTTGAATATTTGATTGGTTATTTTTGAAATGTTATAGAGAGTGACTGTTATTAATGGTTTAAGTGAAATTCATATTAATGGTTTCAGTGATATGTTGAGTACATGATATTGCTGCTTTCGAATGTTTAAAGAGATTTAGAAATAATTTAAGTATGCAAGTGGACTCATCCGGTTCGCCGGTGAGGTATAAGTGGACCTATCTGGGACGCCGGTAGGGTTTAAGTGGACTCATCCGGTACACCGGTGAGGTATAAGTGGACCTGCAGGGATTAAGTGGACCTATCTGGGACGTCGATAGGGATTAAGTGGACCCATCAGGACGCTGATGGGGTATATAGGTGACCTACTTGGGACGCCAGTAGGGTATTTTATGAAATCCTTTGAATTATGTACTGTCGTTAAAAGTGTTATAAGCATTTCAATTACTCGGATTAGACTTAATTATGCATTTATTGAAAGTGAAAATGTTGATGCATTTCTGTTAATAGATCTCATTTTGGAAAATATTGATATCTTTCAATCATGATTATTTTTAGGATTATGATGATCACTTACTGAGTAGCCAAACTCATCAAACTATGGTAAACATTTTTTCAGGATAACTGCGGATTCATTTTGAGTGATAGTCAAGATCAACCTTGGAAGATACTGTTGTTGTACTAGCTTTCTTTATTTACTTTGCAAGTCCTCGCCACTGTAAATTTGTCCTATCAATAGATGTATATATGTTTTGTCCGTCACATCTCAGGAATAATAGTATTGTAAATTCTTGGGGTGTGACATTCCTGTTTTCACAACAGAAATTTCAGTGTGACATTCTCATAAAATGATGGGCATAACTTTCAAATTATAGGAAAGTTTATCATAGTTTCAAGGAGAATTTTTAAAATAAATTCATTTATCTTTCATTTAGAAGTGGTTTGACCTCATTCTGATATATTTTGGTTAGTGAACAACTTCATACAAAAACACATAAAGTTTATGGAAATGCGTTTTACATTTATGAAAATGGCTCATAACTTTCAAACCAAAAGAGATATTGACAAGATGTATTTTTCATCTTAAAATAGATTTGAATGGGTACTTTCCCACAAAATTTCATGATCAACAGAGATGTTTTCAATACTTAATCGATTACACAAATGAGAATCACAGTTATGGAATTTTCATGTCTTCACAACCGAAATTCCAATGTGACATTTTCATAGAATGATGGGCATAACTTTCAAATTATATGAAATTTTGTCATGTTTCCAAAACTATTTTTAGAATAGACTCATTTATATTTCGTTTAGAATTGGTTTGACTTCATTCTGATATATTTTGGTTAGTAAATAGTTCCACACAAAAACACATAACAGTTCTGAAAATTTCATTTTACACTGGCATACTTTAGAAAATGACTAATAACTTTCAAACCAAAAGAAGTATTAACAATAGGTATTTTCCATATTAAAATAGATTCAGATGGGTACTTTCCCACAAAATTTCATGATCAGCAGAGATGTATTCGATACTCAAACTATCACATAAATAGGAGTCACAGTTATGAAAAACATGACATTTTCTAACAAGATTTCAATAACATACATCCACCCTCGTATTTACAATTACATCCATATTCATGCCTGAATTTCATACTTGATAAGCGAAGTAAACATGCATCAAACAAAAGCATGAAAATATGGACACTAAATCTACTTACATGCACTAAAATAAATTCCAAGATTTCAAGCTTAAGGTTTTAAGTCTAGAGAGGGAGGACGTGGGTGAGAGAGGGGAAAACTCATGGAGGGGTATTAAGGAGGTACAAATAAGGAAAAAAAGAAAGGGGGTGGCAGCAAGCAACACACAAATGACACATACAAGACGTATGCATGTGTCACGTGGTACACAAGAGGTATGCAAACAATCATGAGAGAGAGAAGAAGAAGAAGTTCCCTTGGACTGCCACGCTCAGCAGCGTCGTACTCGACAATGTCCTCGTGCCGATAACTCGTTGGTGCACCACAAAATGCCAAAAAAGTTCTAGTCCTTACATGATCTCCATGTTAAAGATTGTATATTCTCTAAAAACTAAGATCAAATTATATTTTAAAAATATATTTATTAAAAATATATTTGTGAGGGTCGTACCTTTGTTTTTTGAGTCATGTTTATTATAATATTGTAATTAATAATTATACTAATTATAATAATCATCAAATATTATATTTTATTTATTAATTTATTTACATTATAAATTATACAATATATTATTTTTTGTTGTAATTGTAAATTAGATTTTTAAATTAGATGATATTATGAGCAAATTTCATTTTTATTTTTATTTTTATAGTAAAATGATGATAAAATAATAAAATACAAACTAATATTTATAATTTCAATATATAATATTGTATTTAGTTTAGGTTTAATAAATATTTGATGAAAATTTTCAGAGAGGAAAATAACATCTCAATATCAGTATATTAATGCCAAAAAATAAAAATTATTAATGTAGTATTCTCATTGCTTATTAAATTGTTAAAAAATAATATTTATAATAATTTATAATAAATTTTTAAAACTAAATCTAACCGATTCAGACTGATTTATGACTCAAAATGCCAATTACCGATTCTGATGGAATTTTAGGCCCGACGCCAATTCGTTTTTTAAACCAATTTTTTGAACGATGGTTTCAATTAAAATTGAAACTTAGGGCCTTATCCTTACAAAATCACTACTCCCTATGCACACGCGCACTGCTCTTTAACAAGTGTCTCCTCCTAATTCGCCTAGCAGATTTCAAAGACAGATAAATTTTCTCTCCAAAATCAGACATGAGAGAATAAAAAAAATTAAATTTTGTGCGGCCCTATGAAATCCAGGTGAGTGGCTCAGGAAGAATGAGTACAAAGAAGCCCATATCCAATGCACACGTGTCTTTATGGGAATCAATCTTGTGTACAATCAATCGCCTATCTGCACTTGTGGACCAGAGAGAGAGAGAGAGAGCGTACTCCCCTCTTCAAATCTGAAGGGCGAAAAAGCTAAGCTCACTTGCTTGATTTAGTAAGTCACGAATATTGAAAGAGAGAAAGTAAGTGGAACGTCCAAAGTTTTTATTCAATCGATTGAGATCGGCTACACGGTAAATTTAAATTTTTTTAAAATTAATTGACATCAATATTAAAAAATTTTAATAAAATTTTAAATTGATTGTATGCCTAACCATTTAAGGCACAGGACGAGTCAAATGAAAATTTAAGATTCTCACTCTTCAGCTATATTTTTTTCTCCATAAAAAAATCAAGTGGTTGGAGCTTTGAATTTAGACCCTCTTTGCAAAAGGCTATATTTTTTCTCCGTAGAGAAGCAGAGTGGTTGGAGTTTCTAATTGAGAGAGAGCATTTAGACTGTTTTTTCCCTAGGGGAAATAAAGTGTTTGGAGTTTCGAATTTAAAGAGAAAAAGAATTTAAAAAAGACGTTAAACCGGCACACTATTAGCGTATAAATGCAACTCATGTTGCACTGAGTCCACATGATAGAAGAGGGAGAGGATTTTTTAGCCTTTTCTCTCTGTTTCTATAACACTGTCAAATCACCACCCTCTTTCTTGATTTTTTCAATTTCTCGTTTTTCTAGATCTTTTCTTAATCACACAAATTTCACATATAAATGGTTGATTGAGGGAGGAATTTATCCCGTGAATAATGATGCTTTTTAGAACAAATTCATGACCGCCTAATACCCGCCGATAAATTTCCCCAAATTCCAAACGTTTCCTTATCTCTCATCTCTCTTTTGGGCCTGCAATTTCCATGGTTATTCCCTGTTATTCTTTCTCTCTCATCCTCTGTTGCTTTTGCGTAGTTTCAGTTTTTGATTCCCGTTCGTATAAGGCATCCTCTCTCTCTCTAGTATTTTGACGTTCTCGCTCTAGTATTTTGAGGCTCGCTCCAACTCTCTCTCTCTCTAGATATCTTGAGGCATTCTCTGGGTTTTTTTTTGTTTTGTACTCTCTCTCTCTATCCATGGGAACATGAGGCTTTTCTCATCTCTCTCTGTTACCTTTCTATTTATCTTCTGCACAATTTTCAGTGCCTTCCATTAAGGCTGCGAACTTTGTGATCAGTAGTTAATGGACTTCTCTATTTCTCTTACCACTATGGGTCTCACTAATTGGAAAATATCTAGCTAAGCCACGGCCATTTCATCGTGTTTCCCTCTCTAGATTCACGGTCATTTTCTTGTGTTTTCTCTCTTGATTTTTGGGGGTTCTCTTCGGATTATGTTGATCCTCTCTGCTGCAACGCCGGTGGTTTATGGGCTTAATTCTAGGTCTAGGTTTTCAACTCTCTTCTATTCTTTTAACACTTCTTTTCACTCCCTTTCTCTCTCTTCCAGCTTGCTGTCTCTCTCTATCCAATCAGGGGCTCGGCCTTCCCCTTGCCTGGTCTTCTCTGCTTTAACTTCTAGCTCCAGATTGAGGTCAAAGGTTAGGGCAATGGAAGAGCTCATCGATAATAAGAACACAGGTGAGCGTGCTTGCAATGCAGGAGCAAGCTCAACTAAGAGCTCCGCTGTTCTTTCTCCAGATTTTAGTGCAACAGAGGCTGGATTTCTTCATGTTCAGAGTGAAGAAGGTAGGGTTGCATGAACTTTTCTCAAGTTGTGTTATTTATTATGATTTACCAGTAATTATCTGATTTTTGCCTTATTAGTGGTACATGTTGGTGTTACATGACCTTATACATATGCACACACGCACGCATGTATGTTGTGTGTGTGGAAGCTCTAAACCAGATGGATTATTTTTGGCAAATAAACTACAAGAAAAACAGAACTGACATCAAGCAAGAAAAATAAACAGAACTGACATCAAGCAAGAAAAATAAGGAGGGAAAGAAATAACAAAACAAGAGAACTTAAAAGATTTATACGGTTCGTCGCAGATGTAACTATATCCACGCAACAAACTCAAATCCACTATACCGATGAAAGTTAAGTTAAGTTAAAGATTTTTGACATTTAGCCTCAAGATACCTTTTTCGACTAAAAACTGAAACCACCCAAAATCTCCATGGGAACCAACCAGCCTCTCAATCTACTACTTCTCTACAAAAAAATCAGCCTCCCAATCTAAAGGAGGCACCATCACAATGTTTCTCCCTAAGGAAGCTCTCTTCTCTCTAAAGGCAGGAGGCACCATCACAATGTGTCTCTCTATAGGAAGCTCTCTTCTCTCTAAGGGGAGGCTTGGCCTCTCTTCTCCAAGGAAGCTCTCTTATTTCTAAGGGAAAGCCTAGCCTCTCATTCGCATGAATTTACAGGATTGGCCTCTCATTCATAGGATTTCTCTATAAGAAGCTCTCTTATTTCTAAGGTAAGGCCTGACCTCTCATTCACATGAATTCACATGAAGCTCTAGCCTCTCATTCATAAGATTGTCTCCATAGAAAGCTCGCTTCTTTCTAAGGGAAGGCCTGACCTCTCATTCACAGGAAGATCTCTTCTTTCTAAGAGAAGGAACATGAAGCTCTCTTCTTTCTACGGGTTTCTAAGGGAAGGCACATAAAACTCTTTTCTTTCTAAAGGAAGGCCTGGTCTCTCATTCATAGGAATTCATAGGAAGCCCTTTCATCTATCTTTAGAGGAAACCATCTTTTCCATATGGTGACCCAAATAGGGCATACACATTCTTTTCTCTTTCATTTCATCTCATATATATAAGATTAAGAGTACACACTAAATAGGAAACTTCTTGTAAACGTTACATATATCTCAAAAACCAAGAGATATATCCAAGAGTCATAATCTTTTTGGATTTCTATTGCTTTAGGAAACTTATAAATATCAATCCCAATCCCAATTCCACATTATGTGGGATTTCTTTATATGTGAGTGATTTTGGATATCACCAAATCCAACAATCTTCACTTTAATATCAAAATTACCTGCTAACTATTCCAACATCCAATGGATAGCTTTCCGAATTCATCATATTTTACCAAATAAATTTCTTCATAATTCTTGCAAAAAATAGTGCTTGCCATCATCTTTCTCCACCTCAAATAAAACAACTCGCATACTTTGCCATGGGTGTTTCTTCAATCGAATGCCCAAACACTAGCCTTGTATTGAACCATGTGCTCTGATACCACTTGTTGTGGGTGGAACCTATAAATCCAATGGGTTATTTTTGAAAAATGAAGTATGAGAGAAATAGAACTTGCGATGAGAAAGAAAAATAAAGCAGGAAAGAAATAACAGAAAAAGATAATACAAGGATTTACGTGATTTGTCATAGATGTGAGTACATCCACGGGCACGACAAACTAAAATCCACTATGTCAATGAAAGTTACATCAAAGGTTTTTGGACATAAAGTTACCTCTTTAACCCTTGACAAAACCCAGTCGAACTATCCATTTTAGACCTGCTCTCTTGACCGACACCATTGTTGATCTCTCTTCTCTATTTCATAGTTAGGCCAATGTCCAGTAAGAGAACCTTGAGAGCAACCGAGACTTTCTTCAACTAAAAGGGGAAACCACCTAGAATCTCCATGGGAACAGTTTCTCTACAAGAAACCATCCTCTCAATCTACATGAGGTGCCATTACAATGTTTCTCTCCATAGGAAGCTTTCTTCTCTCTAAGGGCTCTCAATCTACAGGACGCACCATCACAATGTTTCTCTCCATAGGAAGCTCTCCTCTATAGGGGGAGGCTTTGCCTCTGATTTACAGGAAGCCCCTACCTCTCTCTCTAGAGGAAACCACTTTTCCCATAATAGTAACTCAAATGGGGCTCACATGTTCTTTCCTCTTTCATCGACCACACTAAATAGGAAACTTCTCATAAATGTTATATATATCTTAAAATCCAAGAGATATATCTAAAAATCCTAATCTTTTTGGATTTCTATTTTTGTTAGGAAACTTATCAATATCAATATCAATCCCACATAATATGGAATTTTCTTATATGTGGGTGATTTTGGATATCACCAAATCCACAATATATATATTCTAATATAACGAAACCACACTTGTAAAAAACCATGTTTGTGGCATTTGTTAAACCCCTGATTTTGTACTTGCACTCTCCTCATCCCAATAATTAGTACAAAAAAATAAATCCAATTTAAACTTTGGATATGGTCAAAATGAGTGATCTCCAATAGTGAATCTAGAATAATAGCGATATTTGAAAAGATACGTAAAATACCAACATTTTATTGTAAGCATAATTTGTCACGTCCCCACCCCCTACTGTACTCGCTGGGCCCGTCGGAGGACAATAGGGTGTGGGATTGCGACCACAAGTAGCGAATGTCACTCAGGTGGGAGTGCGCTGAACGCTTTGAAAAGAAGGAATCAAAGCCAATCAAGAAAGAAAACAAAACACAAAGCACGTAACCACAAAAAGCTGGACAAACAAGTCCCAAACTACATATAATATACCAATGCATTTGACATCATTATGTCATATTATCGTGCTCATTAGTGATAAGAACAAAAAGATTCATATAACATGACATTTGTAGGTAATGACGAGGAAAAGATTAAGATAATCCTAGTCATTATTTGTAAATCGTACCAGAAAAGGATTCATGTAACTAATGAGAAAAACATTTCAACTAACTCAAATATTACAATGAATCTAGAATAATACTGATATTTGAAAAGATACATAAAATACCAACATTTTCTGGTAAGCAACAAGAACAAAAAGATTCATATAACATGTCATTTGCAGGTGACGGAGAGGAAAAGATTAAGATAATCCCAATAATTATTTGTACATCATACCCGAAATGGATTCATATAACTAATGAGATTTTTTTTTTCAAATAACGCAAAAATATTTACAAGTAAAAAAAATCCCTCTAAGGCCTAGATCAAAGTATCTCACTAAAATGGATGACCTATATTAATTGGGCTCAAAAACACTTTCTGGAGGGTTTTTTCAATTTTTTTTTTTTTTTGTGATTGTCCATTAAAATGAAAAGAGTGTATATTTAAAATTGAGGTCCAACAAATGGCCCTAACATAGTTTTTGAAGATTAAGTATTTAATTGTTGGTGTAATATGAATGTTTTTCTAGTGTTATCTATATGTATAAATGTTGGAGTTATGAGTGTTTAATTGTTGGTATAATATGAATGCTTTTCGTATGATTATTAGTAATTTGGTGGCATATGATTCTCTTTCTTATTCTTACTTGTAAATATTTTTGCGTTATTTGTAATTTTTTTCCCATTAGTTATATGAATCCTTTATTGGTATGATTTACAAATGATTATTGGAATTATATGAATCAATTTGCACCCTATCCGATCTCTTCCTTGTTTTCTTTTTATTACCAGAAAAAATTGGTGTTAGATAAATCTCTTGCGATGGTGGTGTACATGAATCGTTTTCATGTAATTTGCTAGTAATTGGCACCATATGAATATTTTTCTTGATATTAGTGTTATATGGATCTTTTATGTTTTACTAGAAGTTATTGTAGTTATGTGATTGTGGTACATGAATCTCTTTCTTGTTTACCAGTATATGTTGGTGCCACATGAATCTTTCTTTTTTGTAAAATTTCCCATTAAATTTTGGTGTTATATGAATCTCTTTCTTGCTCTTACCAGCAAGTATCGGTGTTATATAAATGTCATATACTCAAATATATTATATACCTATATTTTTATATTTAATATATTGGTGTTATATGGATCCTTTTCTTTTTATGTACGATTAAATATCTGCAAGAATGTATTCGTGTTGGATGAATCCTTTTATTGGCATTCAACTTATATATTAGTGTTATATGGATCATATATCTTTTTCTTATTGTTTTCCATTAACTATTGTTCAAACTAATTTTTTATTGTTATTCACTAGTAGATATTGAGTATCAATGGTTTTTCAGTTGAAATATGGCATACATGGAGTTTTTTATGTATATTATTTCTTAAATTGTGGGGTTTTAAATAAATTTGGTGCTATCAGATGTTTTTTTTTGTGATTTGCACTCTTTGGTTGATGTGTTTTTCAGCTGGTTACAATTGAATCTTTTTGTGAGTGACATCTGAAATATAAATGAGATCCGGAGAATGGAGGGAGCCTGTGCAATTAATTTTCACTTTTGGTTACTTAGTGAGGGATTTGATGCTGAAACCTTGGGCCTAAGAGTTAGGCTGCAAACTCCCAGTTTTGGCAATATTACAAACCTATAATTCTATAATATTTTTTATTAATTTTTTTCTTGATTTTTATTTTTTGGCTTGTGTTTCCTTGTTTCCCTATAAGATATTTAGAGCATGTTTATGTTATGGTAGTTGTTTTTTTTTTGGGTGAATTAGTTGTGATAGTTTCTATATTTAGGTATGACACTGTTCATCTAACCTTTTGAGAAAGTGCATGTGTATGAATGGTATTTCCTAATGTCTTGCTGTTTTGGATTGTTTTATGATATTTTGTTCGATAAACTTGTACGATAATTGTGTAGCTATATCTATTAACTCATATTGGATTTGTGAGCTTATAATCTGATCCATAAGATAGTTTTTCTCATGATGATAATTAACTTGAGATTCGTGTCTTCTAGAAACTGGTTTTGATGTCTTCGAGCAATTGACCATGAATTTTAGATTTCCAAGGAAGATGCTAAAATGAGTAAAATATAATGAAATAAAAATATCGGCTATCATGTCATCATGCCCCATAAAATGATGGACAGTGATGGAAAGAGAGTGGGAGCTGCCAAGGGATCATTTCTTATTCGTGGCTCTCAACATCGTCACCCATCTTACTGATACTGATGCAGTAGTCCTTCATTACAATGGATGGTGATGAACTAATTTACTATGATTTTTGCATATTCCATTGGACTATAGTAAATTTTCCCTTCTCAAAATACACACTTGGTAGTTCTTAATTGAAATCATAAATTTTTTTATTAGCAACACTCTAATGTTTTGTTGTGACCGAGATTTTAATTGCAGATATGCTGTTGCGTATCAAAAAGGAAAAAGAAGCCAATAGACTGCCTGAAAATGTTGCTGCTGTGATGGAGGAACTGTATCATAATTACCGGGATGCAGTAAGTAAATAATTTGTAAGGCATAAACATTTGCATTCAGCATATGTATGTTATGTTAGTCTTGCTGATTCAATAGTCCGAAGGGAAATTATAATTCCAGTGGCCCATGCTATGTGGTTCTCTGAGTAACATCCACTTTCCATTCCAGCTGATGGATGGTTGGAGCTCTACTATATGTAGATAAATGCCCTTGTAGGCCCCACTCTGGTTATTCTCCAGCAATCCACGTTGTGATGAATGAATTGTTATAATGTACTCAGATCTTGCTTACTGACTAGCATTTTTCAGTGCATACCTACTTTTCTGATTTCTAATGATGATTTATGTAAAATTAAATCTGATTTTGGCATTATGGTTAACACATGAACTAATTAGTTAAAGACCTGATGAATTCCCTAATGGTGGTTAGAGATTTAGCATATGTAGATAAATATCCATGTGGGCCCCACTCTATTTATTCTCCAGCAATCCCTCTTATAAGGAATGAATTTTTGATGCATTTGTCAATGCATATCCTCATTGCTTTCTGATTTCTAATTATGATTTGGCCTAAAATTAAATCTGATTTCTGCATTATGAGTGACACTTGATTAGATTTGCAATGGGACTTCAGGTAGTGTTAATATAGGTGTGTGAGTTTGTTTTCAAGTGATATATACCATAAATTCTTTATGTATGGTATCAGACTGTGTTATACATGTGATACATTACCCCAGTTCATACTTTTTTTCAAGCAGCAGATGAAATTTCTTTTATTGCTTCTTTGTAGATGCTAAAAATGTTACATTTTATTTGATATCCGCTGTCATCTTTTACAATATCCTGCTAGGGCATGTGTGATGAGCAACTACCCTGATAATTGCAGGTGCCATGAGGCTATTGAGATTCAAAGCTTCTTCGTAGGGATATGCCTAATGTTGCATTTTTGTGTGTTCTCAGTGGTGATGAATTTTGCATTTCATGTTTATGTTCTCCATGAAATTGTGATTTTCCAGGTTTTTCAAAGTGGAAACTCCAGAGCTCATGAGATTGTGCTAACCAACATGGCTTCTGCGTTTGACCTCATTTTGTTGGACTTAGAGGTTTCAATTTTCTCTTTCTTTTTACTACCAATCAACTTCACATCATCAACTGCACATGCACATCTAATATTTTTTAGTATTTCCCTTGTTTTGCAAGCATTGTGAACACGATTCATCTGAATCTCATTTTCTGTGAGATAACCTCTTTGTTTTTCTGAATGCAGAAGCCTTTTACATTTCCACCTTTTCACAAGGCAATAAGGGAGCCTTTTGACTACTATGCATTTGGTCAAAACTACATTCGACCTTTGATTGACTTTAGGTTGACCCCTTTTCCTTATAGGCTCAAAAGCTTACTTCTTTTGTTCTCTTGTGAGCGATGATTACAACAAGAAGAGCTCTGTTTTCTGCTGCCTCATTGAACATGACTTTATGGGATTGAGTTGTTTATTAAAAGTTGTTTGCTCCTCAAGTAGCACTAATTTATAAGAGATGAGTCTAAATAGAATGTTTACAGTTGCTTCTTTCCTTTTTCCTTCATTGCTTTATGAATCTGGAAATAAAAAGTACTTTTAGTAGGAAAGAAACTGGAGAGGCATTTTTTTTCAATAGTAAGATGTATGTATGCATTTTTACATGGTTTTAAATTTATAATATCTTTGCTATATTCATATGCCAATTAGAATTATAAAGTTTTAAATATCCTTGGATTCTGTGGTTGTGGTGCAGTTACATTCCATGTTTAAGCAAAATCCCTCTATGCATATATAGATTATCAGTCATTTTATGCACCAGGTCTTCAGTGCAATTAATTGGTGTTTAATTTATAACTATTTTTTCACAGAGAATCATATGTTGGAAACATATCCTTATTCTCTGATGTGGAAGAGAAAATTAAGCAGGTATATAATGCATCTTTTTGTAGTTCTGGTTTCTGAGTTCATTAATACTTCTGATTGGTCACGAACATGTCATTTACTGGTCTTAAAAGTATTGAGTTCAGAAATAGTTTCCAGAAGGATTTCTGTACAGTGACACCTAAGTGAACGTCCCAAATGCTTTTTTCAAAAGTAGAGTAAATTGGCATTACTAGACATTTTCTGTTAATTATTTATACCCTTTTTTATGTTTTACCTTATGAAGTTATGTAATTTTACACATACGACAAGCTGAATCCAAAGTTAGAGAGGCTACAGATAAACTTGCGACAAAAGTGGATTACTTCTTTACTAGGATGCAGGATAAGTCAGGCCTGACTTGAAGCCAGTATAAATTGTCTGCCTTGGGTGTGCTTGCAATTTCCATATCTATGTGTATGCTTTAGACTAAAATGAGTTGGGATCAAATCCCAAACCCCCACCCACTTGCCAAGGCAATATCAAATTCACTTAAAATTAAAAAACAAGAAGTGGCTTTCTTTGCATGAATAACTAAAGGATCTAGCTAATACAAAAATCTGAAAGTAAATTGCCACCGAGATTTATACCCAACTTTAGGATCGTAAAATGAGAAATCTAAGCGTTTTGCCCTTTCTATGTGGTGATTCCTATCTGGGTAGGTCCCCATATTTGATTTCTCTTGCATTTGATCCCCATATTTGATTTCTCTTGCATTTGATTTCTCTTTGTTTTATTCAATCTGAATTTTGAGTGTGGTATTCATGAAAGTCGCCAATTTATTTCTTTTCTGTACAAAACTTCTACATCATTTCATGTAAGGGTCTTTGCAACAAATCTCTTCTACTAAACACTTGAACTTCATCGAGGTTTATTTCTGACTACAGAGGATAAGAACTATCTGCTTTACCGAAAAAGATATTCTATGTGTGTCATTGAATCATGGAAACATATTTTGCATTTGTTTGAATAATTTATTTTCCTTGATATTTTTACTAATAAGTTGATCTAAAAAACTGAGTTTCTCCTTAAACTCATCTCAAACACTTACAAGACTCTGATTGGTGGTTAGGTGGCATTAACACCTAGCTGAGGGGAAATCAACTTGAGCAGATACAAATTTGTTCAATTGGTTGCACAGTATCTGTGGCGATGTAAAACTTCTACATTGGAGACAATGCGCCCAGATGCTTGTTTGGAGCATATTTTATTACATTTCTTACTTAATGTGCTCATGGTTGATTTGAACTTGTTTGGTTTTAGTTGGTGCTCTGTTTGAGTGTTTACTTGTTAATAGTGTTTTTTATGACATATAGTGTGGGTTTAATGGTTCCGCTTTCCATGATACTCAAAAGATGTTTACATTTTCATTTTATTTTCTATGAGAAGGATGGCAACTAACTTGCAAAACCAAATTAGGGCCACAACATTGTGTTCATGTCCAACCATCAGACTGAAGCAGATCCTGCTGTTATTGCCTTGCTGTTGGAAATAAGTAACCCGTTCCTTTCTGAGAATTTGGTGGGTTGCTTGATACGTGAATTTGTTTGTTGCTTTAATGAATTAGACATTTTCTTGCCAGAACCTGGATTGCTAAACAGTCAGTTTGATTTTGCAGACCTATTTGGCAGGAGATAGGGTTGTAACAGATCCTGTTTGCAAGCCATTTAGCATGGGGAGGTTTGTTTGAAACTTTGAGATGTTGATTTAAAAAGGAAAGTATACTATAACCATCAGACTATATGAAAACCACAGCCCATTGGTTCATCACTGTCTAGATGGTTAGAGAGATTGTGGAACCCCCAACCAGAATTAGACGTGACCACAAGGTGGGGCCTACGATCTCTCTGTCATGATCCATTTTTCTATCAAGTCTAATGACCCCATGGACTACGGTTTTCTCATGGTGCATTGGATTATAACATAGTTTCCCAATATTAAAAGTTCCATCAAGTAGGAAAATTATTTTGAGCTGGTTCATGATGATGTCATTTCTTTGTCCTGTGCACTGTTGCAGGAACCTTATATGTGTGTACTCAAAAAAGCATATGCATGACGTTCCAGAACTTGCAGAGATGAAACGAAGAGCAAATACCAGCAGTCTAAAGGAGATGGCTTTACGTTTAAGGTATATCTGATCTTCTTCTAGAAATTATAGTTTACAACCATGAGATCGGCATCTCAAGATTTGATTGTCATCCCATGGTACATTTTTCTTGAAATTTCTAATTATGAATTTTTCTTAATGCTAACTGTTTTCATTAATAAAAAAATGTTTGTACATATACATGTTCCTATACAAATCGATCTATTTACAGAAGACTCTGCCATATATAATACTTTACATAATCAATTTTTCTGTGAAATCAAGTTCCTAACTTGAAAGTTGTTATTGAGACCAAGGAATCAGCTAAATAGTTGGATTCACTTCACACATTTTGGAATGTAGCGCTTATAGAACTTGTGCATGCAAAGATTTCCTAAAAATGTTTTGCTCGTGAATCCTCCCTTGTGCTCACACAAGCAATAACTGTAGCATAATCTCTTTGTAGATTAAATTGGCCCAACTAGGGTCTGGATCTCTCAGTGCTGTGAGCAATGCCCACACCCCTGCGGCATCATGCTTTTAATGGCCTGAGAAGCTAAGCAAGATCTTACCGTGGTCATTTCTTACCACTCCTCCCACCCCTGTCCCTTCTTGAATTGCCAACTGAGCTTCTGTCGAACTTCATAAATCCCATGGGAGGTGTTAACCATCTATTGGGTCAGCCTTCTCCGGTGAATTTGCCTTTCACAATCTCCTGCCATATTGTTTCAACTGCCTGTTTTTTGTCATTGCTGCGTCTTCCATTTCACTCAATGTAAGCCCTGAAATTGCCACCATTGTAAGCCTACACAAGATGAGGCCTCCTTTGGCAAAGCAGGGGCATACCATTTCTACCATAGGGTTCTATTGAGGTTGGGGTGATCCAATTTAAATGAAACAAATTCTGCGCAAAATCCTGAAATCTATTCTCATGATAGTGCAGCAATTGATGGTTAATTGTTTTTCAAGCATTCTTGCACATTAGACTAATGGTTGGAATAATCGTACCTTGTCTTTGGAGATGGTTCATAGTTGGACCTTGTCAATGGTTGCCAATTTCATGAAGCAATTTGTTATAGGGGGAGCGGACAACAGCCATACTTTTCTCGTAATGGGTTGAAGTTCGGCATTATGTAAGAACGTAGTGCATTGTCGACTGAGAAGTTTCCTTTAATGATTGGAGTGAGATCTTTTTATCATCTTTCCATGTATCACTTCTCTGACTTTAATGTTTGGGTCAGATGCTAAGACAGACAAGCTTGGGTGTCGGTCCTTGATATTTTGTGGCCCAAGCCATGGGTTCAACCAGAATCTAATCCTGCCCATCACTACCTGCATCCTTGTGTTTTGGTCAAAGCTACTATTTCTAGTTGCCACCTTCTAGACTAACCACCCTGTCTAATCTATTTTGTATTTGCTTCACAACGTGTGAGGAGGTGAGTCCGCATAAGCAGAACCTCTCCTCGCACACCGTTGCTGCCGATGGCTTGAGATCGCATAAAAACCTAGAAAAGAATAGGAAAACTCAAAAGAAACATAAACAAATCTGAAAGGAAAAGGATAGTACAATGTTAAAAGAAAGAAAAGAAAGAACTACTGCTTTGAAAGCCATTCCCCCAGGCCCAGCACTTGAAGTTGGTGGCCTGGATTAGACTAACAAGTGAAGTGACTCCATCCTCAACACTAGAGAGATTTGCGTGAATCTGAGGTGTTTTGGCCCTTTGGGGCTCGTAATTTGTGATCTATGGCTTTATGCAGCCTTATCCTGTTGTTCTGAATAAGATCAGATAGATTTGGATAAGATTTGGTAGTTAGAGGATAGGTCAAGATAGATTTAGTATTGTTCTAGATGGATTTGGACAGGTTTGGATAAATCTAGATAGACTGGTATGAATCAAGATGGATTAGGACAAAGCCTGATGGTTTTTGGATATCTAAGGATTTCCTAGGGACTATGGGCTGTGGACTACAGGTTATGGTGTACTAGGGTTCACTACAGTAGTATGGTCCCTATGGTTTAATGTTACAATTTTCTGAGAATTCCTTTAGCCAAAATTCAAGGGGGTGTCTACAATTGCCCCTCTTTGGCGCACCCTGTTATTTGAGGAACAGATGGACGACAAAGAAGTAGACACCAGAGCTACCAGAGTTTTGAAATGAAGAATTATTCTCTTGAATATTTAACACCAAAAAACAAAAGGTGCCACTAACAAGATCTATAAGACTTCAACTGCCAACGCTTCGAGGCGATGGTCATTTTTCGTTCAGCGGCCCCTCTGCCAATGCTTTGAGGCAATGATCAGCCAAGCTTGTGACCCATAAGACTTGAACTACTGCACTTTGAGGTGTAGCTAGCTGAGAGGTCTACCTACTAGTCATGTTGGTTCTCCCAGGTCTGGGTGTTAGCTTTCAATTGAACTTTGGATGGTAAAGAGGGCACCGCTATCAGAACCTGTTAGACTTGAACTGCCATCACTTCCAAGCGATGGGCAGTAGAGAGTTGTACTTGTCAGCACTCCCGATTTACCTTGCCTTAACAGCTTTTGTAAATTTTATTTATGGAAGATAACTTTGGCTAATTGAATTCCTATTACACCCTTGGCTCCTAAGGTTTTTCTAAGGTTGTGGGTTTAATTGTGGGCCTTTCTGAAATGGGTTTCGCAAGGGTTTTACTTACTTTTGGTTGATACATTATGGTTCAAGCAATCCTCTTGTATCTTGGGTTTGAACTTTTATCGACAGCATGCATGTCCTCATTTCCAGTCCATTGATCCAACTCCTTTGTTTTCAGAAGTATTTAAGAGAAATTTTTGAAAATGGGAAGATTTGTTTGAAATAGAGACTGATACCAGGTTTACGATTTTAGCGACAAAATGAAGATTTTTGAAACCACTAGACGCAAAGTTTGAAAGCAAATGGGTTGTCCTTGAGATGGAATTTGAAAAAGAAAATAAAAAACTAAAATAGAAACCAGAAAATTTGATGAAGGTAAGTTTTTTGAAAAATGATATGAGAAGAATTTTGAAGTAAGGGGATACTTTGTGAAAACAATGTGATTAGCCTTTTAAGCTTATGCAACGATGGAGCCCTCTAAGCAGTTTTCCATCATGCAGGGTTGGCATATTGAACTTTAAAACCTTTTGAAAGAGCTTTCGAAAGGATAATTTTTTAAAAATTCCTTTTAAGCTTATGCATCCATGGAGCCCTCTAAGCAGTTTTGCATCATGCAGGGTTGACATATTGAACTTTAGTAACCTTTTGAAAAGGATAATTTTTTAAAATATTTTCAGAAAATTTCTTAAAAGACGTGTCTTATAGTTTTGTTGCCTATGGCACTTTTGGGTGAAAAGTGAAATTTTTATGATATTTTTCTTTTTAGTTTTTTTAGGGGCTTTTATCTACAAGAAACCTAACCCAGAAGCTAAATTTTGGAAAATAAATTTTCCCTTGTATTTATTTGACATTTCTTTTCAAAGCTGACTTCTTGAAGGTACCTCCTTTATAAGATGAGTCTTACAGTTTTACCACCTGTGACTCCTTGGTGGAACTTTGAATTAGGGACTTTCAGGACTGGGAACCATCAAGTTCTCCCTCATCTTCAAATCTTAGTCCTTGCATCGCCATTCAAATAATAGTTCTTCAAGGTTTTGGAACTAATCAGTGTCCTGGAAAGTACAAGATGGTGCCCCTAGTGTTTGTTCCTCCACTACCAACACTTTGAAGTTTGGATGGTCGGGGTCCTTCAGGTGAGTTTCTTACCATGGTCAGTCAGGCTAATGGCCCTTGAGTGCGTTTGGTCACCAGATTGATATTAACTCTAAGAACTTCTAGGCATCTTCTGATTTTTCTTTGAGATTTTGCCTTTTTCTCTTTTCCTTTTCCTTGTTCCTTTTCCTCCTTTTTTTTGTTGTTTAATCGCACAGGGTTCCTATTGGAAGTTCAGGCCTCTGTGTATGTGTAAGACTGCAGTGACTCAAATACTTTTTTTTCTTTCGATGAATAAGCTATTTTTCTTTTGATGAATAAGCTATTTTTCTTGAGGAGATTGGCAGTGCTTGGAGGTTGTTGTATTCCCCAGTTTCTCATGGTTGACATGGAAGATTTTGTGTTGGGCCCTGTCATGTACAAATCTCAGTTTATGTTTTTTCGCCTGCAAACCGTTTGGCCTAGTACTTGTTAATTTAATTTAGAGTGCTCTGTTGGCTTCTATTGGTTCATGTTGTACATGAAGAGGTTATAAGTTTTAATTTTTGTTGGCCATTGAACCTTAGAAGTCTTTCACCATTGTCATTGTACTTGGCCATTCAGTGTGTTGATAAAGTTGGTCTATATTGGTATGTCTGCAGGTTGTACCCTGTATGAAACATCTATTTATTTGTTAGGTTTGTACAGTTTCTTATAGATTATATGAAAGGTCAGCAATAGTTTTGAGAGTGATATTGATATTCTATTTCATTTGCTTCCTCTTTATATGCATTCCTAACAATCATTAACAAGCATGCTTCTTAATGGTGAGCCAAACTTTCTTCTTTTGCTCTTGCTACTCAATTGTGAATTCATTTGGTTTCGTCTTTCTTTGAGGACTGATTGGATGAATCAAGATGTCTCATTGTTATTTGTAAGATATGGGTTAATTGATGTCTTACTTTTTGAATGACACTAGCAATTTGATGTGGAACAAGAATTTAGTCTAGGTAGGCTTGTGGAACCACTTTATTGGTCAATTTCTTACCCACTACCTGTTTTGGATATTTCAAATGGGGTTGGTTTTCATTGGACTGGTTCACTTATCTCTTTTTTGTCGTATTATGGAGTCAAAATTGACAAGTGTTTCTACTCGAATATTTAAAATTTATTGCTACTTCCTTCTTTAATTACCTGTTCTGCTTTTCACCCATACTAATCTTTTTCTCTTTATATGATTGAGCATGATTACTTTCCTTTTGGATTTTCTGCATGATTAAGCTGAGCTGAATGAAACTGCAGGAGTGGGTCACAGATAATCTGGATTGCACCGAGTGGTGGCAGGGATCGTCCAGATCCACGAACAGGAGAATGGTCTCCGGTATGTCGCTTCGTCTAATGCATATACTGTTTTTTGTTTTTATAACTTTGTGCTTGAGGAGCAATTTATTTTGGACAATTGGGTTGAGGTTGGCCCACTGTTGGAAATATCGGGCGATCTAACCGCTAACTGCCCGGATAGATTGGAACTGGCCATTGGCAGTTTTGGTGATCGACCGGTATTTTTTTAAAAAAAATGCAAAAAAATCCATTTTTTTCCCATTAATTTTCAACTTCATTTGAATGTGTTTTGTTTTAATCATTCTTTATATGCTTTTCATAGTTTAGTAGATTTTTTTTTGTATCTTTTTTATTTTTTTCAACACTTTTTTGACGGCCCAAGACTTGCCCGGTTAGAACGGTTTAATCGGCAGGTTTACCGGTTGGATCGGTTAAACCACTGCCAGGCCTATGAACCGGTCCTGCTCGATCTTGCGAACATTGGGTTGGCCCACTTTTTTCTTGGGAAAGAATACCACAGTCCACTGGACTACATTAGGGTCATTACAGTCCAATGAGATGAAGGAATTAGAAAAGTGAATGGAGAGAGAGCTATGTTTAAGATATTTGTGTCTATGCCTTGAGTACCTGCTTAAGACCTCATTAATATTACATGGCTTATGATGTCAAGCTCCTGGCTTTGAATGTGTGCTTATCCCTTCTTTTTTACGCACTTCAGCTTTTCGAACGGCTGAGAGTGATAGAAACATTGTAACTTTTCAAGGCAGAGACTTGTTGGATTGCTACAAATGCGCTTTGTATTTCACTTTTGGTATTAAAACATCAGATGCTTGATTACTATTCTGTCTACCTCTGTAGAGTGCAATCTCTCACTGTTTTCACTTGCTCAAGAAGACTTCCATTGGTGAGCCTGATAACATATTGTGATATTCCTCTCTGTGGACTTCCACAGCTTTACATGCATTGATTTTAGCCCTGAAATCTAAAACTACTCATGAAAGATCGACAGTGGAAGAATATTAACCTTTAAATAATGTGTCCACCATTTTGCTGCAACCCAAGGCAGTTCACAGGGTAATCTGGTGGAGGGTACTACGAGGCTAAGTTTTGATTGATGTTCACAGGGTAATTTGGGATAGTAGGTATGGGCAGTTTGTTTAGCGATGAGGAAGGTTGGAAGCTTAAAGCTATTTGGACCCACTAGCATATGTGATTCTGCATTGGCGGAGGCTCGTGCATTGCTTACAAGTCTATGGCTCTGTTCCTTCCATTTAAGTAGTAGTAGAAAGGGCTTGTCTTGATGCCATAAGATGGGTCGTAAACTCCCCTCTATTGTGTGGCTGCCCTCTATTTCGTGGAGGTTTTACATGATATTTGGTGAGATCTTCAACATTTGTGACACTGAGAATTTGACTTTTATGGACGTTCTTAGGAGCTAACCAAGGGTCTAATACTCTTGCCGATGAAGGGGGTTCTTTGTGAATCACTCTGTTGATGTAAGTATTGTGTTGTAATCCTGTGATATTGTCTTGGCATCTCTTGACCCATGTTTATGTTTCTATTTCCTTCGTAATTTTATTTTAGAAATAAAATTTATTGTTAATTATTAAAAAAATTAAATGAACCCATCTAGTTTGATCATATAACTTTGTTTTCCTGATTGAGTTTTTCATCTTCTAATTTGAGATTGATCCTCTGTACCTTTTCTCAATCATTAACCATATTAAGAGAACTATTACCACTCCCCAATTGCATTTAACTGTGGAATATAATTTTGCATTCTTGTTTGCTGGTGATCACTGCTTTTTATTTTGCATTACTATGATTCTTGTTTTGAGAGGGATATAAAATGAGCAGGCACCCTTTGACGTAACCTCAGTGGACAATATGAGGAGGCTGGTTGAGCATTCAGGGGTTCCAGGGCACATATATCCCATGGCAGTGCTATGCTATGACATCATGCCGCCCCCACGTGTGGTATATGTTCCCCTCTCTTGATTCACGCACTTTGAACGGAAAAAAAAGTATACCATAATGATAATGGAAAACTATAATGTGTTGGGGTCGTCATTGGGAACTCATTAAGAGTGAAATCCACCATAACAGGATATTGTTCCAATGTGGTTCCCACTGTCTCCTTGGTCAGTCCTTTGAGTGGATGATGATGAATGACTGAAGGGTTCAACACTTGTCAATTGTTTATTTTTTTCAAAATTTAGGTCGAGAAAGAGATTGGGGAACGGAGGGAAATATCATTTCATGGAGTTGGCATATCGCTGGGTCAAGAAATGAACTTCAACGACATTACTTCTGGCATAGAAGACTCTGAAGATGTGAGTGTTTAGTTACAATCAGTTATTGCTGTCCTTTTTTTTTTTTAATAGGCCTTGATAAATGATGGGAAATGCACCTATCCAAAGTGTTTTTCCCAGCAAGGCCATGCATTTTGATTTGATAACCATGCATGTGAATTCTGCCTTGTAACTAAGATTTGTCCGAGTTTGCATGTTCTTCTCTTTTGTTTTTTTAATTGGTTTTATTAGATGAGACTTTTATGATTATTGCAGGCTAAATCTGCTTTCTCTAAGGCTTTGTATGATTCAGTCACTGAACAATATCGTGTGCTCCAATCTGCCATTCATGGAAAGAAAGGTACCTCTGCATCAAGCTCGAATATCACTCTCTCTCAACCCGGGAATTGATAAGAGGAAAGCAGTGTCCCACCCTTTTTTTTGCCGATATGTATATTAAATTCGTTGAAATCATCTGTTTTTGCATTTGAATAATCCTTGTTCACTATTCTTCACCATTTGTAACAGTAACATTGAATATAAAGGAATCATGAGATTCTGCAATTCATTATCTCGAGATTAGCCTCAATTTCATCAATGAAGGCCAGAAAGTAACAGCTCTTTATCTCCTGAAATTCGCTTTATCTCCTGAAATTCCTGTAATATTTTAATTTCTTCAAAATCGATGCTAAAAGTCCATGATTTATCTTGCCATGAAAGGATAAGCCATCTATGAAATCTTGGAAATGTTTGTAATTCTTCAGAATTGATCCTAAAGGTTCCTGATTTTCATCACACAAAATATGTAGTTATATGCGACTCGTTCTTTAACAAAAAGACATGGGATTCTTTGAAGGAAAAAGTTTATATAGAGTTGAGGCTGATGCCCAAATATCCTTAAGTTCATCTCGACAGCAAGATGGATGGATGGATGGATGTGAGAAAAAATGGATTTCAAGTTTCGGAAATGGTGCATCTTGTAGCACATTTTTTGGATTGTTAATTTTTAAGATTTTATAGATATGCTCGATGTGTACCCGTTTTGAAGGTTTAAATTTTATAATTAATGATAAAATATATTTTAAGACTATCACAAAGATTTTCAGTATTAAAACCACATTTCTTGACATTATTTGAAGATGCGTTTTACTTTGATTGTTTAGAGCCTCGGCTCTTTATAACTCGAATCATTCTTTTAATATTATAAAAAATGATCACTAAATTTATATGATTTATCTTGCATTATTATGATCGTTAAAGCTTTTTTCTAACTAATTGAGGTCGGTTATTATTTATCTTTCATGAAAAGGATGAACCAATATTCCTATGCAGTGCTATTAAACAATGGGGTTTCCCCTCCACCCCTCTCTCTCTATGACCTCACAGAAATGAGCTAAAGATTTCAAGCCTTTTTCTTTTCATTCTTTCCCTTGTCTGTATTTTCCATAATTCTTAATACTTTTTGAAAGCAGTGCCTGATTAAAATATTCTACAACTAATGGTCGACTGTAGATGAACGCGGTTTCTCATGTGGGTTAGTTGAAGAGTCATCATGGAAGCTTTTATCACCACCAAATCCTCCCAAACAAATGTCCAAAATATCTCAATGCTTACTAAAATTACCAGGGACCCCAAGCCTTTTGGTTGGCTTTGCGAGAAGGGACTTTTTTGTTTTTACCAAATATGTGAGATGTTCCCATGCTAGGTGAGTTTATTGTAACTTTTACATATGTTTGTTTGAAATGTCATATATTTCCCCTTCCCTTTCCAAATGGGGTAAATTTGTTTATCCCTAGCCAAGTTTGATCCATGTATGTTGTACTTATGGATTAGATACTATATGATTATTTACTTTTGGTATAAGGAGGTCATAATCATTTTTGGCCGTTGGATATGAAATTGCACAGCTTAAAATATATCGCATAGTTCAAGAAACTTTATTTGGAATTTTGTTGTCAGTCAATGATACACCCCTAGCTATCCAAGTTTTACGTCTAACATCGATAATGATTGTGACTTATACCAAAAGTAAATGGTCTTATTGTATACATTTCCTTGTATTTTTGTATTGGACACATTAAAATTGTAAATGGCAACAAAATGGGCGTCATTCTTGTATAATTATCATGTGCTGCTTTTATTGAAAGTGTTGTGCTTCTAAATTGATTTGTTTTAGGTGTTGTTGGCAAACATAACATCAAAGATTCGCTTCTCATTGTCTAACAGAGCTCAATTATAAAGGAAAAAGCTGGTGTAGGCCTACTAGCCTATAGCTACATTTGAGCCCAACGGCTTATATTCAATCTGGATCGATCTGACGGTCATATTTTAATTTTAATTCTCTCTACAAATTCAAATCACATAAAATTTTAGATATATATTATTCTCATCAAGGTACATCTAATAAAAATATTAAAAAAATAATTCATGAAATATAAATTGATCAAAATACTTTTGAAAGGTTTTGAGATAATTTAATCAATTTATTTTTTATAAATTATGTTTTTAATATTTTTATTAGATTCTCCTTTTTTTAAATAACATACGTTTAAAATTTCAAGTGATTTGGATTTATAAGAAAAATTTAAAATCAAATATGAAATACAATCATGATCATTGGATCGGTTTAGATTAAATTTGGGCTGTTGGGCTTATATGTAGTTATAGGCTAGTGGGCCATCGTTAGCTTTTTTCATGCTTTTTTCTTGGCGAACTTGGAAAAAATAAAATAAAATATTTATGTAAAATTAAATGATCAAAATGGCCCTACAATTTTCAAGGGTATTTTGATAATTTTTCATCATAGGAAATATTTTTTTAATATTTTTATCGTGTGCGCCCTTTTTGGATCTATGCATGTCCCAAATTTTGCTTTAAATTATTTGTAGAATAAAAATAAAAAATAAAACACCATAAGCCGTCTAATCAAGATCTAACAGTTAAGTGCAAGCTTGTGACATTGTGACCGAAGCCATCAAGGCTAAGAGTCACATTGGTTAGGGTCACATAAGAAGCCCTCTATTTTATAAAGCCCTTGATTTCAGGCATCTACACATCAAATCTTATAAAAAAAAAACACAATTACGGTGCTGAAATAAATTATAAGTGATTCATTCCACTTTAATGATCTTGGATCTAAAAGTAAATAGATGTGAAGCCCTAAAAATAGTCCACTTTACAGTACCTTTTATGAGATGTTAATTATAAAACCTTTATAAAATTCCCAAGATTCGGGTCATATTTGAAGTTTCAATTCCATAATAAGGGCGAAGATGGATTTGCATCCTATCACAAAAGTTTTTGAAGTGGAGGGGTTACGAGCAAGTCCCCAAACAAACTTGGCCCTTGCACAAATGGAGCTTTATTTATATTTGAGAGGTGACAATTAATCTTGACTATTATAAATGAAAATGGGGAGCTTCATTTGTTTTATCGACGAGGCCCAAAGTTCAAAATAAATTGTGCCGTCAGATTTTATATTTGATAGCTATAAGTGATTGTGCCTTGTTCATATCTAAGATAAATGATTTTGTAATATACAATCTAGACAGTAAAAAATTATGATCTTTAGGATCATCACCCTTCATTACATAACTTTGTCAAAAAAAAAAGAAAAAAAAAAGAAAAAAAAAAAGGGAATCATCACCCTTCATTGTAATGACATATGGTAGTCAAGACTCGAGAGTATGAGACTTATCAAAAGTACAAGAAAATTTGTTGTACCTTGTATGCATCTGGATCCCAAGCCTAAAGACGGATGCAAATAAGTGGTCACTCCAAAAAAAAAAGTTCAAACCGATAGTCTAAATATTTTTTTATAAAATTATCATTTTTAGCTTTAAAAACTTATTTATGTTTTACATATGGGTGTGGTTTCTATAAAGTTGCAACGTTAAACAATCAAATTAATGTGCACCTCCAAATTTTATCATAGCATATAATTTTGATGTAAAAAAATCTTAGGATTATATGAATATCTATTTTTATCTCAAATTATAAAATTTTGAACTCAACAAATAGTTAAAATCAAGTAGATCCATAAACATTTGAAAATCTTGAATATGGATGGTCTAGATAATGTGATGCAAGATGAACTATTTGTAGGACTCAAAATTTTTTTTATTTTTTTATTTTTCATATTCACATATATTGATGTTGAGATGATCAATTAAAGAGCTTTTCAACATTAAAAGACTTTTTCCCTATAAATTTTTGATGTGCATCTTTAATTCTACATTTTAAGGTTGCAACCTTACGTATAAACTTTTTCTTTTACATATTTATGATCTAGAAGTCTAAAATACATGTGGTTTCCATCTATTTTTGGTTTTTTGGTCATTATGCACAAAAAAAAAATAAAAAAAATAAAAATAATAAAGAAGAAAACAAGCCTCGTGGGTCGCTCGTCATTTTCAATGACGTTTACTTTTATTTAAAGAGCAGAGAAATGATCCAACGGTTCCACTGAAAAGTATACGTGATCCAACGGTCCAAAGTTACTATTCTTCATTAAAAGGCCATTTCTTTTTGGGTTATTTCAAAGTTCAGCAATCGCAAAGAGAGCGATCGAAGTAATCAATCCCTTTCTGTCTCTAATCTTCAAAGTCTTTCTCTTTCTCTCTAAGCTTCAATCTCTCTCTCTCTCTAAAATTAAGGTACGTATCATCTCTTTCTCTCACTAATAACGAAGGCTTAGAAATCAACATTTTTGTCAGCTAATTATGTTCTCCATATTCTTTTCAATTGATTGGGGCAATACTTGTTCATGGATTAATTGGTTTGTGATTTTATACAAGTACTTGATGCCTGAATTCTTGCACTGCATATTTTAGCTTTATTACCCGCAAACATCAGCTTTGGTTCTCTGATGTTGCTTCATTTCTAAGGTTTCTTTTTACTGATAAAATTGGAGAAATACTTCTCTGTGATGGTTGGATTTAGTTTGAGGCTGCGGTTTTTGTTTTTGAAACCCTAGGATCATGTTGCCTTTTGAGCATACATTTTGATTTAGCATAGATTTTATTGAGATTTAGATTGATCGTTTTTTTTTTTTTGGGTGGTAATCTTTGATCATTTATTCATTTTCTTGATCATGGGGTTTACGTGATTATGTTTAATTCCTGAATTTTGCTTCAGTCTCTTTCTTTTATAGCTTTGTGCTTGAAGGTTTTATCAATAGAAATTTCTTTTTTGGAGTATATTTTTCAATAGCAAGGTTTGTGAATTAAATCGTATAATTCGAGGGGTTTTCTGCTACTCATTTATTTGGGTTTCTGTGGATATAGGTTTTTGGGTTTTATTTGAATTTATATTCATTTCTTTAATGGTTACTTCGTGGGGTTGTAGTCATTGAATTTTATGTTCATTTGGATCTGATCTGTAGTGTATTGTGAGGCTGTCTTGGTAAAGTAGTTACATCTGAAACCTATAATTCAGCTGTTTGTTTGATGATGGGGTTTTTCACTTTTTCCTTTTCAGTTTTTGTGGAATTTTCTCAGTAGCTTTTGAGGATCTAATGACAAAATTTGTAAACGTCGATGGCAATTTTTAGTGGAAACTTTATTGTAAAATATTCTGGATTTTGGGTTTTTACTTGTTACGTTACCTTGTTGATTTCACCTTAAAGTTGCAACTGAGGATGAAGTTTTATTGATTTTGTTACACGTGTGACCCTAGGATGATGGGGCTTTTCCCGAGCAAATGATAATTGAGATCTCATTTTGAATTTCTAAACATTTCTGGGTTCATGTACGTTTATGCTTGAGAGGATTTTCTCATCAAATATTGCTCTCTTGTATGATTGATTTGAGATTTTCATGGAAATCGGCATATTTGGAGCCCTAAAATGTAGGGATTTCCTGCAACTGATTGTGTTTGAAATCTCATAATTCTCACAGTACCCACCTGTTCACTGAACTTGGTTCACTCATTTATGGAACCTTGCTCTTTTCCCTTTGGTTATTCTGATATCCTAGACGTTTGGATTCAATGTAGGGTTTCGAGAAATGGGGGATAACAATTTGATGGAGAAGGTTAGCGCATTTGGTGAGCGCTTGAAAATTGGGGGATCAGAGGTTGGTCGTAAAATGAGTGCCGGTATGAGCTCCATGAGCTTCAAGATGAAGGAGCTCTTCCAAGGCCAGAACCAGGCCGAGAAGATCGTAGAAGAAGCGACAGCTGAGACCATGGATGGACCAGATTGGTCCTCTAATTTGGAGATATGTGATATGGTTAATGGTGAGAAAATCAGTAGCCAAGATGTTATTCGAGCTCTAAAGAAGAGGATCATGCTTAAGAATGCTAGGGTTCAGTATTTAGCTCTGGTTCTTCTTGAAACATTAGTGAAGAACTGTGAGAAGGCTTTCTCAGAGATTGCTTCTGAGAGGGTTTTGGATGAGATGGTGAAGATGATCGATGATCCTCTGACAGTTGTGAACAATCGAAACAAGGCTTTGATTCTTATTGAAGCATGGGGGGAGTCTTCAGAGGAACTTCGGTACTTACCTGTTTTTGAGGAGACTTACAAGGTGATTTTCCTCCTCTTATGGTTGTTGGAACATATGTTTGCCTATTTGAAATGAAATGTTTGTTTACCGAAAGTTTAAAGTGAGCTTGCACATTTTTATAACCTTGGGAACACCATATATTTTCTCAAGAGCATGTCTCTCTAGTGTGAGATGCTTCCAACATTATTTTGTTTTTCTCTTCTTTTCTTTTCCTTTTTCTGAGTGGGGCTTTCCCTCGCATTGATATAGTTTACTCATGCTGCAATTTGGAAAACTTTATGCATCTAATGCTCTCTATCTATCATTGTATTTACCCAAAAAGAATCTATCTTTGTCGTTTCCTTATATTCCTCTCTTTTTCTTTATGCATTTGTAGAGCTTGAAATCTAGAGGTGTACGTTTTCCTGGACGAGATAATGAAAGTTTGGCTCCAATTTTCACCCCACCACGTTCAGTTTCTGATGTGGACTTGAATACTGATCCTCTTGGACATCAGCACCCTCAGTTTGCACAGAATGAGAACTTCCATGATGTTGTTGCTCAAAGCTTTACCCCAGAGCAAACAAAAGAAGCATTTGATGTGGCTCGGAACAGCATTGAACTCCTTTCTACTGTTTTATCCTCTTGTCCCCAGCAAGATGCTCTCGAGGTGATTCACATAAACTTGGTTACATGTTCTTTATTTGATGCACTCGGTAGATTTTTTCTTTCCTTTTTTTTTCCCCTTAAAGGTCTATGAAGTAGAATTTGACTGGTTATTAGATGGTCATGGTTCATGACATTTTTGTTTGAATTCTTCAATACAATAGTCGCAGGAATACTTGAACTTGTCATCTTTCCATTCTAAACAAATAATGATGGCACTATAATTTGTCTTTGGAATAGTTAATGTGTAATTTTGGGTTATGAATTATCGAATTATCTAAAAGAAAGAATGAAGTTTTGTTTGAAATGGCTATATAAGACATGGGTGAGGTGCCGATGGGTTTAAATGTTTCATGGAAATTTTGGTAGAGTATGATGCCTAGAGCTGGAATGCTGAATTGATGCAATGTGATGGAAATACTTTTTTCTATAATAATTGAAATTGAATTACTGTCATAGGTGTTTTTTAAATGGATCGCATTTTCTTCCGATAGGTACTACAACTATATATCTTAATTTGCTGAATGGATCCCATTTGATGAATTTGATCTTTATTTGCTATTTCCTTGAAAATTATTCAACTGATAGGTTTTGTGTGCCTTTGCTTTGTAGAGTCCATCCTTAAGTAATTTCTTTTCTATAATAAGAAAAAAGTTCTATAAGGTCTTCGCTTTGGGATGATGTCCTTAAAATCATACCATCCGGTCAAGTCTGGGCAGCCAGTTTCTCAATTTATGCTAGGTTTCTAATGTGATTGGTGGTAGGTGGTCTTACATGTATCTTAATTATGGTTTATGATTAGTTATATTTTATAAAAATATAATATAACTTAGATGTACATGTACTATGCACATAAAATAGGAAAAAGCTATTTAAAAAAATTGAAACTTCTTTTTTCAGTTTTAAAGTTGTTGGGCAGTTTGAGCAATAAACTACCAACCCAAGAAGTGTTTAAACATTAGGTAAGCCAAGCTTTGTAGTTTTAGCTACTGGATATAGCCAGGCTAAGTCCACACAAGTGATGAGGTGATGGAGAGTCTTTTTGAGTTTATTTTCCAGGAATATGAGCAAAGCCCTAACCAATGTTATCATATGCTCTTCTCTTCGGCCCAATCGCCTGAAGTCCTTGGCTTCAGCCCCTAAAAATTGAATTTCTCCCTAATAATTTCAATATTTCTGAAAGTATTTTTGAGAACATCTGACATTAAAAAAAATGCACCTTAAAAAATTCAAAATTTTGGAGAAGTGCGACATAAAAAGTTAAAAAATATACCTCAATATATTGAAATATTAAAGATATCTTTTTACTCGGTTTTTTTGGAATTTTTATAAATTTCATTTTTTAAAATACACCTGAAGACTACCCCCCTAACCGGCTAAAGAGGCGAAGCGCTTCCCTTTCCTTCCCAAAACAAGGAGCTTTCAGAATCAAATCTGATAAGATTGACTCAGGCAAGTGCCCCTTCAGAATCTAATAGTTAGAATTTGGAGCTTGATGCTATTGAGTATGTGGCCTCTATGATGTCCTCCGCACCAATTTTCTATGCTAGTCTTGGTCGACCTATTTGTGCAGCATCCTTTCGTTTCATTGTCTTTGGTAGGCATGAATAAATGTTTCTATTACCGTGGAAATGAAAAAGGGGATTTTAGGCTAGAATGCTCTTTGTGTGTGAGGTATCTAGAAGCTTGTGAGCTGGATTTGTTTTTAAGCCAGGTGAAAGTGCTGAGGCAGGTGAGCTGAAATTAATGGTGTCTATGCAATGCAAAAGAATAATATTTTAAATGATAGCCATCTTTGAGAAGCAGTTCGTGAGGTATTATAGAGCAGGTCTTTGAAGTATTTGTTTTTGTTGAAGGGTGGATCCATCCAACAAATGCCCTGAAAAGCTTGAGAATTTCTTAACTTTGTCGAAAGATATGAATGACATGCAGAAGGAGCGGGTAAAATTGGGGTTATTTGATCTTTTGAGTTCTTTTTGGTTTCTTAAGGCATATATGTCATTTTCTGTTGTGGATGATTGAGTTGTACAATTGGAAATTTTAATCTTGATAAGTTGTAAAAGAGCTAGGATTTAATTATGATTGGGGTTCTAGAGGAGAAAGTTAGGTTCTAAGGTTTATTTTGCTACAAAGTAAAAAATATTGGACAATGAAATGGAGAATAGAAGAAGAATTGGTTTTGGGTCTTGTAAAAAAGATCTTTAGGGTTGGATTCCCCTACAATTAGAGAGGGAGTCAAGTCTCTCATCCTTTCAGTCAAGAGATTTTGGGGTGAAGTCCCATGTAGACCTAGAGAGAGAGAGAGAGTCAAGTCTTTTAAACCTTTTGATCTATAGAAAGCTTATGATAGACTACATCGAGATTTGATTTGGTGAGTGTTGGAAAAGAAAGGAGTCTACAGGCACTATATCGACTTGGTGAGAGATATGTATAATGGAGCGCTAACTAGTGTACATACAACTAGTGGAGAGGCGAGTGAGTTTTCAGTGACAATAGGTCTACATCAGGGGTCAACATTGAGGCCATACCTCTTTGTCTTAGTTATGGACGACTTAACTAGGCACCTTCAAGATGAGGTACCGTGGGGTATGTTGTTTGCAGATGACATAGTTCTTGATCGATGAGACCTGAAATGACGTCGATACAAAGTTAGAACTTTGGAGCGATGCTCTAAAATCTAAAGGTTTTACAATTAGCCAGACTAAGACAAAGTATAATGTCGAATGCAAGTTTGGTAATAATAGGAGCATAGACAAGGAAGTAGTTAAGATCAATGGTTAAGAAATACCAAAAAGAGTGCACTTTCGATATCTTGGGTTGATAATCCAAGTAAATGGAGAGATTGAGGAAGATGTACATAGAATTAGAATTGGGTGGGCGAAGTGGAGATGTGCGACCAAAATTTTATGTGATCACCGCACACCAATGCAGCTGAGGAGTAAGTTTTATATGACAATTGTGAGACCAATTTTACTCTATGGGGCGGAATGTTGGGCGGTCAAAAAATAATATACCCATAGAATGAGTGTGGCGGAGATGAGGATGTTGAGATGGATGAGTGGCAAGACAATAAGGGATAAAATTCAAAATGAATACATTTGGGAAAATTTTGGTGTGGCATCAATAGGCGATGAGATGAGAGAGAGTAGACTTAGGTGGGCTGACCATGTGTGGCGCAAACCCAGTACAACACCTGTTAGGAGGTGCGAGTTATTTCAAGTGGAAAGCTAAGAAAGGGCAAGAGGTAGGCCCAAAAGGACATGGTTGAAAGTGATGAAAAAAGATATGAAGACTTATGGCCTCACTGAGGTATGTCCCTTAATAGAGTAGAAAGGTAGACCAAGATTTGTGTAGCCGACCCCAATTAGTTGGGGAAAAAGGCTTTGACGATGATGATGAGGGTTACACTCCTTTGTTGAGCCAGGGAGAGGGTATATTACTCTCATGAATTTTTATTTTATTTTATTTTTTTAGTCAGATTATTTTCTCTCACCGTTTCCCTATATCTATTGATATTATGGCTTCAAAAGATTTGTCCATTACAATGCCCCCAAAATTTGCTCTTACAGTCCAGGATATGCTGCCAAAATCTTAGAGGCTATGAATCATAACATAAATTGAGTAAATTGATGAACTTCAAGGGGAGATCAGTGAAAATACTGGTTACCAAGAAGATCTAACAGCAATTCTCACCCCACCCTTGGGATGAACAAGCCCAACAATACATTCCTAGGGCTGATCCCATATGTAATGAGGAAATTTTGAGGCAAGAACCAGGACCTGTAGAGTGCCCACGAGATCTTGGCATCAAGGTTGATCTCCTCAGGTTTCAAGGTAAGCTCATTGAGGGCCATATTGATTGGTCGAGTTTGGTAGAAAATTTATGGAAGAGCTCAAAAGAGAAATCAAGATCATGCCCGATATCATCTATTTCACGTTTCACATCAAGTGTTTTACTGATTGGCTGGTTGAAGTGAAAAAACCCGTGCGAATGGTCAAATGCCACCAACTGTTGGACGACCCTCTGAATAAACACAACAATCTTGAGGTTGAGCTTCTCCTAACCGTAGAGAATGATGCTATGGATTTTTAGTTTTTTATTTTATTAATTTGTTTAGGAGGCTAAAATTGGGTTTATTCAATCTTTTGTGTTTTTTGGGTTTGTTAAGACATTTATTTGATCTTTTGTTGAGAGAAAATAAACCAAATAAAAAAATAAAAATGGTGAGAAGAGAAAAGAATTAATTAAGTTTAAAATGCAACATGACAATAAAATTAATCTCTTTAACTCAATTTATTTATTTTATTATTGTTTTAACTTAGGAGTTTTGGTTTTTGAAAGAAGCTGTATTGAACAAATTTAATGGAAGAGGTTGTCAGTAGAAAAAGAGAGAATTTTAGTGGAATTATTAATGGAACAAACTTTGTAGAGAGATAGATAGATAGAGAGAGAGAGAGAGGTTGTTAGTGGAGAGAGAGAAAGAGATAGTAGAGAGAGACAGACACCAAGGTTGGGGAGGAGAGATAGAGAGTTATATAGTGGATTGGCGATTTTTAAGGTGTAGACGTTTTGGTTTTTAGGACGTCTTAAAAACAAGAGAGAATTATAAGAAGTAAGAACCAAAAAAGTAAAAAACAAAGGGCCACATCAGGGATCTCATGAAGCCAAGGGCTTTATAAAAACCTTAGGCATATTTATGAGTGTACGCAAGTTGCTTAGCTATCATCTCTTTTGATTGGGAGGTACATGTGGCGACTTTCAAAAAAAAGGAGGGTGGCTCTTGTTCTGTTTAAAAATATTTAAAATTATGCTGACTTCCAAAAAAACCATTTTAGACTGGTTTTGTTCTGCCATAACCGGCCGATTCCTAACAGGATCGGCCGGTTCTATCAGAGAGCTGGTTGGTTCAAGGGGGGAGTCGGCCGGTTCCCGATATATGACGGAATCCGATTGGCTACAACGATTTCCAATTCGGACTGCACGATTTTGATCTAGATGAATGAATTTTAAAACCTTGGATAGCCATGAAATCCTTGTTATGAAACATTTGGGGGTTGGGGGGAGTCAAATACGGGTCTCCAAAAGGGAAAATGGACTTGTCCTTTTCCGTAATCTCAAACAAGAGTTTTGAGAAGATCAGGAACATGAAGGTGTGTTGGTTACTCATAATGCTAGGTTTGAGTGGGAGGATCATTGCAATATGGACTAGAATTTCCTGGGGAAAGAGGATGATGCAAATAGATAGTTCACAATGTTGATTACATTTCAGTATGTGAAGGATATGGCTTTATTTGGCTGTTTGCAATGATGTACATTCTGAGCAATCTAGTTAGAATTGAATCATATGTTACACAGCTTGTAGAGGGGTGAGGATCACTTGCTGGAATTTTGGGCACGCTTAACATATATGATTCCTTGAATTCCATTGAGTTGCTTTGAAATGAATCCTCTCACTCCATGAAGTTTTGGTGGGGAGGGATTTGTGTGTGTGTGTGTGTGTGGTGGGGTGGGGGGTAGGGTTCAGGTCCGGGTCAACTTCGGTTGGGATTCAACCCTACTAGTTTTAAGTTGGACCCTTGCCCGACCCACCAGGTCAGTCGGTCCAGGTCTATAAATAAAAAAATATAGTATACATTTTATATTATATATTGAATATTGTTAGTTATTATTTGCACTAGTATATACTAGGCTGGGTCAGGTCGGGTTGACCCTGGCCCTGATTGGACAAGATCTAAGCAGCATCTGGACCGGATCGAATCTTGATCGGCTCAAGGTCAAATGGTCCCAGACTTGATCCGTTGGATCCAATATTCGAGTCCAGACCTTGACCTGGTCGGGTCAACCTCTCGGGTCCACCGGTCGACTTGACTCACTTCCCACCCCGAGGGATGAGTGACTGGGAAGAAAAGGAAGTACAGCAACTAAACTGTAGGGATGACTCAAAGAATGAAAATCTTGTTATGGAACATTTGGGGGTTACGGGGAGTCAAATAGGGGTCTACAAAGAGAAAAATTGTCTTGTCCTTATCGAAAATTTGAAACAAGAGTTTCTAGATGATTCGTAACAGGAAGGTGTGCTGGTTGGTACTCGTAATGCCAAGTTTGGGTGGAAGGATCATCACAATGTGGACTGAAATTTCCTGGGGATAGACGATGATGCAATTAAATAATTCACAATGTTGGTTACACTTCCGTACGTGAGGGATATGGCTTCAATTGGCTGTTTGCAATAATGTACATTCTGAGCAATCCGGTTAAAATTCAATCATATGTTATACAGCTTGTAAAGGGGTGAGGGTCATTTGCAGCTATTTTGGGCGGGCCTCAACATAGTTTATTCCTTGAATTCCATCGAGTTGCTTTGAAATGAATCCCCTCATCCATGGAGTTTAGGTGGGGTTTCAAGGAAATTATTTAGTTATTGTTGAAGTTTTCTATGAAAAGGCCTGGTTGGACGAGAATTATCTGAAACTAGTTCTCTGCATAAAATTATTTTCTGTTTGGCACATACCTTGTAATATATTTTAATGTTATTTAATTGTTTAACTTTTTGGCGATTTTGAGCCATTTTTAGTTAGTTCTAGTTAAAACATGTGATTTTTAATAAATTATTGAATAAAATGAAATTAACTTTTTAAAAGATAAACGTCTATGTAAAACTCTCTGCCTATAAGATAATTTTACGATACATACTGCCAAACAATAAATAATTCATTGTCTCGATTAATTTTATTGAAACAGTGAATTATCAGTGATAACAAGTACAACCAAACATGCCTGAACATTTACTTATGTGTCTGGACTACCATGGATACTTCTAGGGATAGCATGGATCAGTGGGGTTTCTGGCCTCTTTATATCCCTCCATTTTTGGCCAATCTGTACACTTACATATTTATTTGAGTTTTGTTATCTAGTAGTAAGAGAAGATAATCGTATGCTGTGGCAATAAAGTTAGTTGAATGATGATGTTCTCGACCAAAAATGGGTGAATCCATTTCCAATAAGCCTTTTATAGCATGCCATTCTCCAATTTTGGTAGGTTTCTAATCAGGTTATTTGGCGGCATTAAATGCTTACTCATAGTAGCATAATGTATATTGTGTCATTGAAGGTTCCTCTTTTATAAAGGATCACATACCAGCTATCTGTTTGTCTAACTTTCAGTTTTTATCTCGACAAACAAATGAAGTCTTATACTTGCAATTGACATAACGAGCTTAGCTTAGCTGTGTGCAGTGCATGCATAATTTCTCTTGCCGAGTTTTGATTATGTTCTAAGAATTTCCTTGGAGCATTCTTGAATCATCTCACATGCTGGTTTCCTAAATGAACCGCCTATCCTTTTCGTGATATTTGTTGTCAATACCCTATTGAATAAACTTAGAAGCCGAAGAAAATATTGTAAATCTTTTTTTCAAGTGCCACAACTTTATGTTGAAAAAATCTCTGCCTTGTGAGAAATATTGTATTGCTTAACTACTGAATGGGTTTTGGCCTTTGTGAAATTTGCAGCACTTAACTCTCCTTTTGGAGAGATTTTATTATATTTTAATTCTTTAGCGCTTAACGCTTTGTAACCAACGTATCAATCCTACCTCACTTGTTTCAATATCTAAAAACACTACGTGATCGTGGATGGTAATCAAGCATAAGATCTAGTCTATCCTTCCTAGTGTTGAAAAAAACGTCCGGCAACAGTGGTCTAGGCCGCCCAGCTCCTAGGCAGTTAGATTAGGTTCAAATGGGGGCAAAGGGTGTTCAGTTATCTTATTTTATGTCCAGATTTTGTATAAATATACATGTTCATGCATTTTTTATATATAAAAAAAAAACACCAAAATACCCCGAAGCGGGGGTCCCTAGGTGGGCGCCCAGGAACAGCCCGCCTAGTTGGTCTGCCCAGGTCTGGGTGATACCCCACAGCCAGCCTCCCCTAGCCAGCCTAGGCGGCTGCTAGGCACTAGGGGGCCGCTTTTTGAATCAAAGATCCTTCCATTCTTCCAAACCCCATTTCCTTTCAAACAATATCATCTCTCGTCTCATTGCTCTTTCTCCTCCCATTCTTCTGCAGTCCCTAACCCCGTAAGTTTTTGGTTCGACTTATTTGTATCCTCTCTCCTTCCCAATATTCTCTACGTACAAGATCCACTTATTTCATGCATTACTGTCTTGTCACTATGATTTGATTATCATCTTCTCCTTCTCTGGCTTCCATCCTTTCCTCTACTTTCAAAACCCTTTATCTGTTTCTATTCTAACTCTATCAAACTCCATTTGTTTTCTTTATTATTTCGGATTCTCATCCTCTCTCTCTATTCCCCTTCCATTTTCTTCACACCCATGTCCCATTTCTTTCAAAAGTACCATCATGTTACCTCCATCCAATTCTCATTTCCCTCTCTCCCACCTTCCATTCTTTTCTACTTTTCAACCGCGTCTCCTTTCACGCATTAGCATCACATGATCTCGATCCACTTTCACTCTCTTCCCCGCCCTCCCTCTCTCTCACTCTCATATCACAGCAATCTGATTCTTGTTTTCTCATTCCTATGCAGGACGACCTATCCACCACGCTCGTGGAGCAGCTGCGCCGCTCCCGATCGACCATCCAGAGAATCATTGAGACAGCAGGGGACAATGAGGCCTTACTCTTTGAGGCCCTTAACTTGAATGATGAGATTCAAAAGGTTTTCTCTAAATATGAAGACCTCTACAAGCCTGTTTCAGCTCCACCTGCACCAGAACCTGCTATGATACCCATTGCAGTTGAGGCTGAAGACTCTCCAAGAGTGGCCCATGAAGACCCACTTGTTAGAAAGCCTGCAAATTCTAGGTCGAGAAGTGGAGAAGATGATGATATAATGCATGATTTGGATGAGATGATCTTTGGCAAGAAGGGCGGCTCATCAGATGGGCAGGACCCAAAAAAGAATCAGAACAAAGATGATCTCATTAGGTTCTAGATTGTGACGGTGATCTCTCTCTCCCCCCACCCCAGGGGCGCGCCCGCATTCACACATACATACATCAGAACAAAGATGATCTCATTCTAGTTCTTGATTGTGAACTCTCTCTCTCCCCTCCAACATCATCAGAACAAAGACGGTCTCATTACAGTTCTAGATTATGAGGTCTCTCCCTCTCTCTCTTCTTTTGACAGGTTTGGAATAGGAGAATGGTTGGGAGTGTTATATTTTTATTGTTGACTGCAGGAGGACTCTTTGGATTTTCTTCGCATTTATGTAAATCCTATTCCTTGTAGAAGTGGTTTCTGTTGCTCCCTCTCCTTAACGAGTAATTTTTATTTTTATCCTAGTATAAATGAATGGAAAATATCCCCTAATCTAAAAACGTTGCACAGTGAAGGAAGGAATCCATTATTGTTCAAAAAAGGTTAAAAAAAAAGGAGAAATCCAGACCTAGGTGTTTAACAAGTTTGGATTGAGGGATGAATATTTGCTACCAAACCTTAAAATTGAGATTTTTAATGCTGAAATAAAAGGAAATAACTTGGGCTTGAGTTTCAATATTGTCAGTGTTTCAAACCTGGGTGGATGGTTCATCCCATGGATCTGTCTTAAATTGTCCTATTGCCAATCTGGATTGGTTCGAATTGTTGATCTGGAAAAAAAATAAAAAAGTACAAAAAAAAGATTTAAAATAAAGTTTTTTTTTGGGGGGGGAAGACGGCCCACTAAGGATACCTTCTTGGAACCTGTCCGGTGTAGCTCTTCATTTGGATGTGTTTCTCAATCTAGATTGTGGTGGCTTTTAAGAAACTGATTGGGCGTAACCAATGTTCCAAAATTTACCGCTCCGGATTAGGATTGGTGGGGATGGTCTTAGTTCCTAGCCAAAATTAAGAAAATTAAGAATCTCTCTGATTCCCATTGATTCGCCTCGTTCTGTCAAATAATCGGACAAGTTTGTGTGGGAATCAAGTGATCTGAATTGCCCAATTCCTACCTATTTTATTTTAGGGTGTGGTTTTTAACTGTGCATAAGGATGCAACCTTAAACGAACAAATTAAAATCTTATCATAACATGTAGTTTTGATATTGAAAATTATTAGGATGGCTTTTCATCTCTAGTTATAGAATTTTGAACTCCAAAAATGGTTCAAATCAAGTAGATCTATAAATATATGAAAATATTGAAAATGGGCCATCTAGATGATATGTTGTAAGGTGCACTATTTTTGGGACTCGAAATTTTTTGTCTTTATTTTTCATATTCATACATCTTGATGTGGAGATAATCATTAGAGGGTTTTTCAATGTTAAGACGCCTTTTTTTATGGATTTTTTGATATGCAACTTAATTCTATGTTTTAAGGGTGTATTTTTATTTTATTTCTTTTTTTTTGGATAAGGTTTGTATAAGGTGCCCTCCTTATACTGTAGAAGTAAGTCACACCTCTAAAATTTGCTTCGAAATATAGTTTCGGTGTCCAAAACTTGATAATAGTTTGATAATCTATCTTTATTCTTACTTATAAAATTAAAATTTCAAAAATAGTACGGAAACAAATAAATTTATAAGTACTTGAAAATTTTGAAAATAGACAGTTCAAAATACTCGTTATATATACACTATTTTTAGGTTTTGAAATTCTTGTTTTTCCCATATTCACACATCTAGGGGCTAGGCGTCTAGATGATTGATTGGAGGCCTATATGACTTCGGAACATTCTCTTCTATAAGATTTTTGAGGTGTACCTTACTTCAGTAGTACAAAGTTGCAACCTTATATAAACTTTTTTTTTTTTTTTTGGACTTCTTATTTTGAAAAAATTAAAATTATTATTTGATTTTTTGTGGACCGATTCTAACTGGGGAATTGGTTCGGTTTGCCAATTTGGATCTCTGGCTTCCTGATTTGGATTGGATTTTTGGAATGTTGGTTCACTCGGTTGATCCGGTTTTTGAGACACTAGGGACAGCCTCAATTCTTAATTAAAAAATCTTAATTTAAAGGGAAAAGATAAGGGTGCAACCTTATACTAAAACCTTCTTACAACTGATCATCTTGGCCTCGAGATGTGTGGATACACCTTAAAAAAAAAAAGAATCTCAAGTCCTGAAAATAGTGTATCGTATGATAAGTTATATTGGCTGTTTAGTTTCAAAATATTCGAGTATTTATAAACTTGTTCGATTTGAAACATTTTTTAGTTTCAAATTTCATAATTAGGGTTGAAATAGATTTTTAAACCATTGTGAGGTTTTTGAAACCGAAATTACCATTTTCCGGTAGAATTTAGATGTACGCCTTACTTATACTCCGGGGCACCTTATACTAACCTCATCCGATAGAAGGAATGACTTTTAAAAGCCATAAGATTTCATGCTGCTGTGGGAGCATACTGTCTATTTACTTCCTTAGGTAAAATCCAATCTAAAAGTAATTGTAAGACCACAAATTTTGGAGGTGTAAAATTTTTCAATTATAGATTAAACTCTATAAAATAAAATTTCCAATAGCTCTCTCCAGGCACTTGAAAAAACCAATACCTCAAAACTGAATAGAGACCATCCAACTTTTTGACAGTGAGTTAAGTGTTAGAAATCATTGAAGGAAAAGTGTTGTATGAGTCAGTGGGCACAAGAGCCTGCTAACTCGCAAACGTCCATCATAAAGATGGACGTTGTATAAAATGTACCTTCCGTAAATTCCATAAACGATAAACCAAAAATATAAAAATTTGTATTTTTAATTTTAAAATTTTATTTTTCTTTTGATATTCCTGATCACTTTGGCTACATGATGAATAAATAAAAAAAATTAGATAAAAAATTCATCTCTAAAATGAATTTTAGAAGAGGGCCTCATGTGTACGTATGAATCGGCTGACTCATAGAAACTCTATTCAACTTTAAATTCAAAATTTCTTTGCCGAAAATGATCTAGTGATTTTTAGGTGGATCCAGAATTTTAAGATTGAAACTGTCTCCCAAATAGGTCATCTAGTAGAGGGACTAGATGTATAATGCCCCCACGGGGAGCGTAGTATTTATAATTTATATGTGGATTATAATTCTTTTAAAATATATATATTAAAGCTTTCTCAATATTTCACATGAGGGTCTATGAAAATAGTGTACACTATGTGGTGCACGGGCATTACCTATGTATAAAGGAAAAAGTTTATATAATGTTGCAATTTTTTTTTTTTTGACAAGTGCAAAGAACTTTATTAATTATGAAAGGTACATCAACATAACAACTACAAAGGCAAAATAAGGATACGGGCAACATTAATCCCAAGTTTCGCTAAAGAATCCGCCTTGTCATTGGCTTCCCTATAAATGTGATGGAAAACAACCACTTGACTCTAACAAATATCCACCAGTTGAAGCAAACATTTTTTTAAACACCATGGAGGCCTTTCTTTTCCAGAGCACCAGTTAATTACATTCAATGAGTCACCTTCCACCATCCATCCCTCATTAGCACACATAGTCTTTAACAGGTTTACACCATTCAAAACTACTAGCATCTCGGCACAATTAGCTATAGCACACCCACAAGGACCCCAAAAGGAGAAAATCTTCTCACCCTCCAAACCCTAACGATTCCACCATAACCGGTTGGACTTGGGTTACCCAGAGAACAAGAGGTATCTATCTCCCAAAAGGTCAAAATAGACTGATAAATCAAAGATTGAATACTTAAAAATACATACTTCTTTGACACCCCAAAACTATCTTTCAAATTGGAGTACCATAACCAAACATCATGCTCCGAACTCACCACCTCAAAGGTTCTCCTATTCCTTTCAAGCCAAACTTCCCCATAAGAAAGATGCCCTAAAGATCTTTTAAATATTTACACTTTTCTTAGGCAAAGTTGGAAGTGATACCTGATCAATAATGTCGATATATCTCCACGGCAGAGAAAAAGAGCACACAACTAGTTGAAAAACCCAACACCATAATCCAAAAGTAACTAACAATGAATAAAAAGGTGATCCCCACTTTCTTCAGCCTCTTTGCAAATGATACAGATATTGACAATTACTTACCTCTTCTCCTCTGATTGTCTACTGTCAATAACTTATCCCGAGATAGAGCCCAAATAAAATTTTGAATTTTATGGAGAATTCTCCACTTCCAAATAGCAGAAAGATTGGGTTGCTCTTATCTCAACCTACCATAAAAAAGAAGATGATAAGCAGACTTCAGCCGTTAGCTCCCAAACAACCTCGTCATCTTGAATATGAGAAACATAAACATTAAATAACTCTGCCATTAGGTTTGAATATTGTGCAATAAATGAATCCAACAATCTATTATAGATAAACCAAATGTCCAAAGTTTGTCGTTGTAAATCCCCCTAAAAAACCTCTCCAACTTTAATATTCTGATTCGCAACCTTCTCATAAATATCAAGATATTGTAGCTTTAGTACACTATTCCCCAACCATTTGTGCTTCCAAAAGTCAATAAATACCCCATTTCTAACCTCCCATCTAATATTGTGTACAACCACCTCGTTATTTTGATAAATACCCTTCCATAACTAACACACAACATGTCTACCCCTACCCTTACCAATGAAACCTGAGTTATCAACACCATATATTGAAATCAGCACTTCGTTTCAAAGCTGATTACACCCTAACATAGAACTCCACCACCATTTGGAAAGCAAAGCTTGATTTATCAGTTTCAACTTACGGATCCCCAAACCCCCCTTCCACCTTGGGAGTATAAACTTTATCCCAACTTATTAGGTGATACTTATGCTTCCCATCAATAGTACCGCATAAAAAATTCCATATAAGCCGCTCAATCTCATTGACAATAGGAGCAGGCATATGTAACAGCAACATCAAAATAACTGGCATGTTGAACATAATTGATTTGATCAATGTAATACGCCCTCTAGGAGATAGAAACTTAGTCTTCCATAAATCCAATTTGAATGAACCACTTTTAACACTGATCCCACACATCTCTGGGTAGTCTAGACTTCGAAATAGCAATGCCAAGATACTTTATAGGAAAAGGATCAACCACACACCCCAAAGACACAGTCAACGACTCAACAACATGCCTCTCACATCCCACTCCCACCAAAGAGGTTTTAGAAAAGTTAACTTTAAGACCCAGAGTTACTTCACAACATCTCAAAAAAAGAGCAACAAATTGCACCTGCTGTAAATTTGCATCACAAAAAATAAGAGTGTCATTTATATATTAGAGACGTGACACAAAAGAACTACTATTCATAATCTTAAATCCCTGAAACCTACCCCTTTGCTCCACCCTTATC